CACATACCTTTAATCCCAGTACTTGAGAGACAGAGGCAGGTGGATCTCTATGAGTTTTAGGCCAGCCTGGTCTACAGAGAGAGTTCCACAACAGGCTCCAAAACTACAGAGAAACCATATCTAGAAAAAACGGGGAAAAAAAAGTATTTTTCTTAGGCATTTTGACACATTCCTAGGAGCTAGACTTACGAATGCCTGCCTGGAACTAAGACACGTGTGCATGCGCATACACACACACCAGCTTTGATTCAGCCCTTTTGCCAAATTAAAACTTTCTTTTAGTCAAATGCATAGGAAACCATGCATCTGCTCCTCTCTAGCCATGAAGACCCTGCATGGATCTAGGCACATGCAGCTCAGAGTCCCATCAGCCCTAGGTCATGTTCATTTCCATTCTTAGGCTCAGGCACCCAGTGGGCCTGCTTCCTAGAAACTGGTGCTTGGCTGAAGTGATCTTGGATATGCAACCAGATACATGGCCTCTAGGTGCCAAGAAAACACCAGGAGATTAGATTCACCTTCATCTTGGTCTGAAGGACAAAGCCAGAAAGAACATTCTGGGCTCGGAGGCTCTTTTGTATTTTTGTCTCATTCTTCTCAAAAAAAAAAAAAAAAAAAAAAAAAATCCTTTGTTTAATCAGAATGTAAAAGGATATCTACTGGCTATTAAAAAAAAAACAGTTGAGAGAGAGATGAGAGATCACATGGGTGCATTGGGTGCTCTGCTGTTATTGGGTATTGAGAATGGACAAGAACATGGCTTTCAGCTTTGAGCCAGCCTCTTCCCATGGATTATCTTATTTGATCCTCACCACAGCCCTAAGAAGCCCAGGGTGGTTCTCAAATTTGAATACACACCAGACTCATACAAAGTTTTTGCTAAAATTATGGCTGAGCCTACCCAGCAGAGTCCCTGATTAGTGGGGCAGGGCCAAGAGCCTGCATATCTAATGGTCACATTGATGCTGATGGTCTTGGCCCAAGGACCATGCTTTGAGACACACTGAGCTAGCTGCTATCACTCCTGGTTTTATAACTAAGGAAATGAGGCACAGAACACTCAAGTTACTTTCCTAACAGCAGCAGAACAGAAAGTGGCCTAGTAGATATGCTCAAGATCTGCTGGCTTCTGGAATCTCCATACTTCTACATCCCAGTTTTCTGCCAAACTACACACCCAATCATCGCACCCAACTGTAGGGATGAATACTGCCATCTGTGTGCTCTCTAAGGCCAGCTGTAGCCATTAAGACACAGGAATTTGGGAAGCTGTAGACCAAGAGTCTCCAGGACACACTCAAGCCCCAATTCTGCAACCCAGGAAAGATGAGGCCCTTTGCAAGTGGGCAGACCACACCACACCCCAACAGACCCTGCATGCCACTGCTTTAATTAGCAGTAACTGGGACTGGAGCCCAGATTGGATAAATGAGAGTGGGTCAGATTGCTGGTCTCAGGGAAATCCTCCGGCACAGGGACAAGGTTCAGTTCTCTAATAGGAAAAACATGTCTGGCCTTTTCCAGTTTTCCAAAGAGTACTTTGGGCCTTTATTCATGCTCAGGATGGCAGCTGTGGGACGCTGGAAAAAGACATGCACCCCCTTAATTAAATCTGCCTTGTAATTGCATGTGCCCCCAGCTGCCATTTCAGGCCCTTCTTTGGGCTTCAACAGGCCTGCTCTTATTACTGCAGTTTGGGGGGTGGGACCACATGGGTCTACATCCCTGTTGTAGGGTAAAAAGAAAACTTTGCTTTCCAGACTCCTTTCCTGTGTTCCATCTCTGGGTCTTAAAGTCTAAGAAGGGCTTAAAGAGAGCGTGCAGGGCCTCAGGGCACATGTGTTGGCAGCAGCTTTGTATTCCAGCAGAGGCAGGCAGAGGGCAGGTGGAGGCAGGGCCTGAAGGACGTGAAAGATGTGAACTTGATGTCTACTGCTATGGAGGATCCCTGCCTGACTTCCAAGGGGAATTTTCTGTGTGTTCATGTTCATGTGTGTGCAAGATGAGCACTCTCCATGGTCCTTCTTTAGACTCTGTTAAGCTTCGTTGTTTTTTGTTTGTTTGTTTTTGAAACGTGCTCTCTCCATGGGACCTGGGATTAAGCAGTTGTGCTAGGCTACCTGGCCAGTAAACCCCAGGGATCTATCCCCAGGGGTCTTTGTCTCACCAGCATTTGTATTAGAAAAGTGTGGCCACTCCTAGCTCTTATGTGGTTCTAGGGAGAACTCAGGTCTTAATGCTTGTGTGGTAAGCACTTTACTAAATGAACCATCTCCCCTGCCCTCCAAAGGGTCCCACCTGAGCAAACTCAAATTGTCAAGCTTGGCTATAGACACCTTCACCCGCTGAGCCATCTCTCTAGCCCACAATGGGGTTTTTGTTGTTTTCTTCATATGAGACTATCAAAACCTGCCTGTCTGGGGAAAATTACTCTATCAGCTAAAATCTTCACTTCTCACATTGAACCTGACTTACATACAAGCAAGTGCCTGTATCATGAGCCTACAACTTGGTGAATTTACATAAACTTTGACACTATATATATATATATATATATATATATATATATATATATATCCAGCTACCCTGATGACACTTCCAAGTCACCTCCTTCTTGCCACCCCAGGACACCCCCTCTTCTAACTTTCAGCCACAGATTTGCTTTACTGGGCTGGAGTTTGTTCTAGGCTCACATGACAGCCTAACTTGCAAGTCAGTCACCCAGCAGTTGAGCAGGTCAAGTGCCCAGCTCTACAGGGCTGATGGGCACTGTCTTAAAGCCTTGGAATTCTAAAGCCAGCCCAGGAACAGATGGGCAGAACTTGGCCCATCTTGGCTGGAAGATGGTGCTACATCTTCCATGAGGCTCAGTGCCAGGAAGGAATAGAATTCTTTCTCCACATACTTCTAGAAGTTTCCTCTGTGTGTGAGATGCCAGCAGAATCAGTGGAACAGTTAGCACTGACTCTCAGGCTAGAACGATCTTGGGAATTGTCTGCATAAGGTCCTTTAGTGGCATGCATGAGAATGTCTCAGGCCTAGAGTATGGCTCAGTGGGCAGTGCTCATCTAGATTCTAGAGGCCTTTAGTTAGATCCTCAGCATACCATAAATAAGTAAATAAATAGTTCTATCTCTTAGGGAGTGTTTTAAAATGCAGCTTTCTCAGGCCCCTCCTTACATATAGGCTGAAACCCGGAAACTTGCATTTTTAGACAATACTCCAGAAGATTCTGATGTAGTCAATGCCAAGATATAGGCATAGAGACACCAGTCTAGATAACTCCAACCCCCAGGGTTGCACATGGGGCAAATGAAGCCCAGAGGGCTTCCTGAGAATGACAGAATCCAAGTACCTACCCTCCATTGTGATACACACATGCACATACATGTTTATACATGCACACAGAGAGCCTGTCTGAGGGGCTACTCTGTTTATTCTTCTTTTGGTGGACTCTTCACCCTGCCCTTTTGTAAGGTAGGTATGAAGACAGGGAACAGAACAGAGTTGCCACAAAGGCACAACACTTTCCTGTCTCCCTCCCATTTGCCCAAGTGCCTTCTTCCTAAAACCCAGATCGGCTCTCTGCCCTGTCCCACTCACTGCATGCAGAACAATCAGGAATTTCATAGCTGCCACTACTTGATCCTATCTTTCTGGCCTCCAAACCCATGACTCTTCTATAAACCATTCTCCATGCACATCCTTCAAATTCCAGCTTGCTCAGCCTCCCCTCTGTCCACCCTTGGCACCTGGGCCAACAGTACTTTCCCACCTTTCCCAATCCTTCCATTCTCTTAAGGCCTAGATAGAAGCCTGGTTCCTTCAGGAAGCCTCATAACTTCCCAGCTCTGGACTTTTTCTCTGACAATCAGAGCACTGGACCATTCATTTGTAATTTGCTGTTACTACCTATTATGTTCTGCTTTGAATTATGAACTTTAGTGACTCCCAGCTACAGAGCTCAACATACCCTTCTAATTACCCACCCACCTAGTAACGTTCCTAACACATAATAAGTACATAAAGGATGTTAGTAATAGTGGAGCTATGCAGTGCTGGGGGTGGTGGGTACAGAGGACCCAGAGGCTAGGCCTGAGAGAATGTGCTTTTGGTTCAGTGACTTTCCTAGGCTTCCTGGGCTACCAGAATATTCCAGGCTAATCTTTGCACATGAAGGTCAGACTTCCCTACAGTATGCTTCTACTCTCATAATCTCCTGACTGTCACCATCCATAGCCATTACATTTCCTGGCTTTAATGTAAGCAGAACGCCTCTGCTTTCTGTACCCACCTGGGCCACTGAAGTCACTTCTATGCTGTATATTATGCAGGGTCCATGACTCTGTCCCTATCAAAATATCACTAATTTCCTGCACCCACTAAAGGACCAACCAAGTGCCTGCCATCCCATTCCCACTCCAGCCAGTGGTGACATTGCCAGTTCACTGCAACAATGTAACTCTACCAACTATCTCTCAGGCTGGCCAGGCAGGCTAGCATGTTCTTGACCCAGCCCCATAGAAGCCCTGGACCATATTTAACCTAAGTCAAGCCTCCCTGTTCACTAAGGACTGGCCATCATCTCTGTATCCACAGCTTGCTTACAACATGGCCACAAGAAGTTAATTTCAGATCCACTGACAGCTTAAGTTCTAGGGCCTGAGCCAAATTTCCAGAAAGGATCCCTTTCTTCTTTGTTTATTGTAGGAAAGACATCCTGGGAGGAAGACGGCTTCTCTTCTGCCAAGGCCCCTGCAACTGGAGGTCTAGGAGAAATCCTTACTGGAATTTGGAAGTCTCACTACTGAGTCTCACAGTTCAAGCTCCTATATCAGGCTTTCTGCCTGGGGAGAATGTACAATGTAACTCTCAGGAGGAGTCATTCTCCATGATGCCCAGCTTTCTCCAACCTTGCCCCAAAAAGCCTCAACCAAGTTTCTAGGTTTCTTATTAAATATAGTCATCTTCCGAAAAGTATATTTAAAATATCTACTTACCAACATAGGTCCACTTGGATCCTGTGAAGAACAGAAGGAAACAAATAAGTAGAATAAACTGCAGCTGACAGAGCCAGGAAGACGCTGCACATTTAGTTGTTAAATGGGTGAAACTGAGAAGGAAGTCAATGCCCCAAATACAAACTTCTGACTTGGAGCCAGAGCCATGACTCCTCAGAGCTGTGCTCCACACAGAGCTCAGGATGGAGAGTTTGTGGAGTGTTTGTGGACTCAGTAGGGGGCATCTGGAATAGATGACACTCCCAGACATCTTAGAAAAGCTAAACATTATTAACTAGGCAGGGAATTCCATGTGACTTGAAACCCTAAAACTATCAAAATGTTCTTTCAGCGGAAGCTCTCTCTCCTACCCTCCCTTCCCTCTTCCAGGAGATATCTGTGTATGGGGTGATGGTGAGCTCCTCACAGTGGGCCAGACACCCATGTGTTCTATTCCCTCCCCTACTAGAAACTCTATTTAGCATCTTGCTTTTTTCTACTTGACAACATATCCTGGAGAACTCATCACATCAGTACCCAGAGAGAGACAAAAAAAACAAAAAAAAAAAAAAAAAAAAAAAAAAAAACAAACAAACAAAAAAACAAAACAAAAAAAACCCAAAACAAAACAAAACTCCCTGTGAATGGAAGATGTTTTCCCCCAAGGGAGCTACCATCCTCATCTGAGCTGCAATGCCATGCCAGCAGTGGCAGGAATATGGAGGAGAAATTCTGATAGGAATATAACCCAAGCCACCCACCCCCTCCCACTCTACATCTTTCACACCTCACAGAGGTCCTTCATTCCTCATGTCACTTTCTTCTTGTCACCCAGCCTGCTCACTTTCACTTTCCTTCTGGAAGAAGACTGGAAGTTTGACTAGATAACTTGTAAAGCCATATTTCTGTGGTAAGATTGACACATGGATGTACATGTGTCAACAGGTGCTTAGGTACAAGTCCTAAGCACCTGTCTCCTGGCATCTCTGAGTGTCTGTTGTTGGAAAGAACAGCTGGAAAACTAAAAACTGGCCTCGCCTTTGACTCTCAATGAAATGGAGTGTCAAGTATCTGACCACTCACTCACCATGAGCAGGAATTCCCTACTCACACCTATGGTGATTTCTAAAAGGGAACTTTGATCTTCTCCATGAAACCCCCCCAATTGTTGCTATACTGTCTTGTTTAATGTCTTTGCCTCCATGTTAATTTTGTTTTTAATTTTCAAAATTAATGGGTGATTTTGATTAAATGAGACATTTGTCATAGTTTAGAGTCAGGTGTCTCAAGGCTTTTTAACTAGTATTGGCCCCCTTGAAAATCACTTGCCATTTACTTGCATCCTAGAACAACCATTTTGAATTCTTTTAAATAATTCTTTGGGTATTTTCTCCACCTTAAGAACATGTTTATATTGTCCCCATTCGGGTTTTGTAGAGTCAAGCACTGTTTATTGACATCCCACCTTAGAGGAGCAGAATCTAGTTTCCTCAGGTGATGTAAAGTGACCTGTCTTAGACGGTGTGCCTACTAACAGCCTTAGCACATTTGTCACTGTGTGCCATGTTCCCATGAATTTCAGGAGCTTCCCAAGGGGGCCAAGCTCCTCTTAGAATAGAAAGAGCCTGGGTTTGGGCAGTTCTGCACTTCTTGTTGGAGCCTGCAAACCCAGTTGGCTTGGGCAGGGAAATGCCCTGAGGAAAGAATATTTAGCTAAGTCCAGGCCAGGAGTTCAGGGTCCTGCCCTGCCTGCTTTCTGCCTTGGGGGCTAGCAGCTTCCAAGTGCTAATGACACTGCATCTGGACCGCAGGAGCCTGTCCAGCCCTCCACCTTCAGTTCAGATAGAGCAACTCAGCTGAGTTCCTGGAAATGTTCCTCAGCCATAGTAACAAAGAGTTCCACTCTGTCTCCAGAAGACCTTCAGTTTCACCTTACACTCCTCCCACCCCTGGACCAAGGGCTTTCCTTGGGCATTTATTAGTGCCAAATGTGATGAATTTCAATCCCCCAAGTCCCAGGCAGGGCACACTTTGACCCCTTACTCAGCTAACCCCCCAGCCCCAATCTTGGATTAACTGGCCTTCTGTCCACTTCAGTGAGTTTTGTTTGACTTTATCCCCTGAGGCAGTCAAGAAATCAGCACAACAAAAAGCCAGCCGTATAAAAGCTTAGAACCCAGAGATAGCTAAAACAGGAAGGGGGGGGGGGAGTTAACTGCAAGCTCCCCCAAGGCAGTTTGAAGAATGAGGAGGAGAGGAGGGGCCAGCAAGAAGGAGAATGGGGAGTAGCTGTCAGAGAGGGCGCCACAAGTTTGGAGGAAAAGATCAGTAGAGAGCCCCTCTCTCCCTCCTGTGAGGCGCTCAGTACTAAAAGAGTTGGTAAATTTTGGTCTCCATAGATTTCTTGAGAGTTAGCAGTTAGCCAATGTTAGTAGTTTTCAAAACTGATCCCCACTTTGGAGGACTTCTCCCACCTCCTGCTTCTTCCTGACTGCATGGCAGACCCTGCCAGTCAGCAGATGAAGATTCAGCCAAGGGGTAGCTTGTTGCTCCCAGGGCTGGCTTTCCCCACAGGCACAGTGGTATCCTCTGAGAAGGAGAAAGGAGTGCCAAGTTCTGACACCACTAAGCAGCCCAGGAACTGTATTTACCCACAAATATCCCCACGATGTGGAGATTGTCACAAGCAGGACCCAAGAAGAGCAGCTGAGAGACAGGCAGGCTAAAGCTTGCTTACCCTTTCTTGTTCTAAGGGAGTTAATTAACCAGGCTTTGGACATGAGCCCATAGCTCAGGTTCCTCTTCCCACCTCAACCCGACACCCTGCTTAGTACCCTCGGCACCCTTACCCTTCGAAGTTCAGCTCTTATCACAATTAGAAATAGGGGTGCACGTGCGCACACATGTAGGTGCAGGGTAGTAGAGTCCTCTAGGGGAAAGACGATGATTAAGGATGGGCTACCTTATCCCTTTGCCATGGAGGTGAAGGCTGATGGTTAACTGCTTCTGAGTTCTGAACACCAGCCTAACTCTCCTTCTTGCGGATCTCACACCACTCAGGAAGCCAGACATTTCTCATAGCTCTGCAGGTGGTTCCAGGATTCTGGCTAGCAAGTTAAGCCCCATCTCCAAAGCTAGTATGCTCAGAAAAAGGCAAACCGTGCACAAAGCACCATTAAAAGGGCAATACAGAGAAACCCTGTCTTGGAAAAAAAAAAAAAAAAAAAAGCAACGTATCTCCAACCTCAGTAGATTATGCACTCTAAACGAAAAGCAGGCATTCTTCCTTGAAAATGTGCTATGTACACAGCTCCTCCCTGCTTCCTCAGTAGTGATTTTATTTTATCTTGCAAGAGCCTGGCAAGAAATCCTTCTGCCAAGACGTGGCTGAGTGTGCTGGACTCTTAAAAAAAAAAAAAAAAAAAAAAAAAAAAAAAGCAGAAACTTTACCGTTGAGTGGGGCCGAGCTGGAAGGCTGCTCCTTTAGGAAAACCAGCAAGAGGACTACGACCGCGTGCAGGCTGCGGTGGGGCATCTTTGTCCTGGCGACTCAAGGCTGCCACTCGCTCTGGGACTAGGAGGCACTTGGAGCTGACTGGGGCGCACCAGCATGTGTTGCAGCCTGAGATCACAGCTTGCTCCTTTGCAGTGTAGGCTCCTAGCTGCGCCCTGGCTGCTTTTTAAGCTGCGATTCAACCCTCAAACGTGATGTCATCGTGCAAGGGGGCGGGGGCAAAACGCCCAGCCTACCCGAGAGCTGGAGCCCCAGGTCCTAGGTGAGTTGCAGTCCTGAGTTCAGTGCCCTTCAATGGCCCCTCGCCGCCGGCTGTTCCTCTGGCCCACTTGGGGAGCCAGTTCTCCCAGGGAGCTGTGAGAAGTCTGGGGACCATGCATCACTTCTGTGGATGTGGCCGCGGTCTGTCACTGAACTTACTTGAAATCCCCCCTCATAGGACGCTGTTTGAGCCAGGCCTCCCTCAGGGAAAGAATGTTTCTGCATGGTCTGGACACGGGTTAGCTAAGGAGCTGTGAGTTGTACAGCACATCCAGATTAAGCTCCTTTCAATGAAACCACAAAGAGATGGCAAATAGGAAAATGGTATAATGAGATTCACATGAATGAGCAGCTTTACCTGGTGATTAGAATGTCCCCTACGAAGAGGCTTGCTCGGAGTATCTGTCCATCCTCAGTAGGAAGCTGCCGGAGAAGGTGCCCTCTCTGAAATAGTAGTAAAAGAAAAGGACTTGCATCATTACTGGGTGTCTAAAAGCATCAGAGACTGGGCTAGGTGTCTCAGTCTGGATCAATGGCCAAGCTGTTTGCAGTGCAGGTTTACCACCTGTTGCTACTTCAGCCCACTTTTCTCATATCTCTGCCTGCTTTGCAATGTGCACACTTATGCTGGATGAAAGCATGCCATTCCGATTCCCTTCATGTCCAGCTAAGTCGTATTGAGCTGCTGCCCTGTTGTCCCCTACCCTTATTTCCTGTATCTTCTGTTTGTTATTCCCACCCCTGAGATTGTTTCTGCTTCCTGCATCCCTGGGTCTTCCATGTGTCTCTGTGCCACTCCAGGTGAGGGTCCTGGTTATCTTCCACTAGTAAACCTGACCCCCTACTACCTACACACATGGCTCAGTAACCTGGTTCATCATGCCCTCTTCTCTGAGCCAAGGCAACCAGCACAGCCCTCTCCAGTCTGTCTGTTGATACTCAGCTTACACAGACTCAAGCTGGCCTTGGTGACCAGTGAAGCCACTGTTCACCTAGAACTTAGAGGGGCTGAGCAACTGAGATCCACCAGGAAGTAGATGCTCCCTGCATTTCAAGGGGCGTTGCTGTTCTGTCCCTAACAGCCCAGCTATTGTGTGGGTAATAAAGGGCTTGAAATCTCTTCAAGGAAGTTGTTACAATGACAATTTTGTCACAAGCATTTCCAGACCACAATAAGCTTAAGGGTGACCTTTTCTCCATGATAAATGGCCTTGAGTGAGCTCTGGAGTGGCCTAGGCAGTGTCTTTAGAAGGTGAAATGGACTAGGCATTGTAAAAGCCAGGGAGACACCTGAAGGTTCAGAAATGGAGATTCTGGGCCCTGTGAAACCATGACTAGTTCCAGGCAAACTGGACCATGTCCAGACACCTGCCTGTGCCACTCCCATACCAGGTGTTTTTCAGTGTGTCTGAAGATGTTCAGTTCGACTTCTCCTGAAATGTCCACTATAGAAAGACCCCCAAAGATGGAGAGGTGGAAGGAGAGAAAGATGGATGTAATAAAACAATAAGACCAGATCATAAACTAGGTTTCATAGAGAGAAAATGTGTGTGTGTGTGTTTATTGTGTCTCTATCAGAAAGCTGGCAAATTAGAAAAGAGAGTCAAGCAAAAGAGAATCAAGAATATAAACTAAAGCTCGGTGTGGTGGTTATTCCTGAAGTCTCTTGACACATGGGAAGCTGAGGCAGGGAGATCTCTGAGCCTCATGGTGTAATCATGTTAAGGAAAAAGAGGCAGGATAATGTGGGAGGGGGTAATGAGGAGATGGCTCGAGCGTAAAGGTGCTGGGAAACCTAATGATCTGAGTTGATCCTTAGATTCCCACAGTAGACGAGAACTACTCCTTTAAGTTGTTCTCTGACCTCCACATGTATGCCAGTTCTCTTTGAAAACAGTACATGATTTTGAGCACTGAGCTTTCTCTCCAATCCCAAGAATTTCATTTCTTAAGGTAGGGATAAACTCATAAATAGTAAATAGTGTCACTTAATTGGAATGATTCATCTTTGTGTGGAATCAAAGAATGGACTGCATGGATGAAAACTAATACTTATTGATTGTCTACTGTTCATGTGACAATGTATGGTGCTTTATTCTTAAAGTCACCTGTGGGGTAGCATTAGGTTTAGGGACCTGAGGCTTGGAGAAACTCAATCCTTTCTTGATGCAGATTCGCAAAGCTTTTGAATGGGTAAAGACTATATTCTCGACCCAAATAATTTTTCCATGGCTACCCTATCAAAGCTTTGGATGGGGCATGTGTGCTTGTCTCTTAGCTCCACACAAATAATAATAATAATAATAATAAATAATGTTTTTTAAATGAAAGGACCAGGAGTGGTGGAACCTACCTTTAATCCCAGCACTTGTGAAACAAAGGTAGGAGGATCTCTGTGAGTTTAAGACTAGCCTGGTCTATATAATGAGTTACAGGCTAGCCAAGGCTATTTATTGAGACCTTGTTTCGAAAGAAAGAAAGAAAGAAAGAAAGAAAGAAAGAAAGAAAGGAAGAAAGAAAGAAAGGAAGAAAAAGAAAGGGCGGAGAGAATTGCCATAAAGACTTAGAGTGAATTTGAGGGGGAAATGTTTTTAAAGGATCAGAAGTGGGGAAGCAAACTGAAATGAATAGAATGATCAAACTTTAAAAGCTGAACAATGTGACCCTAACCAATTTACATCCCCAACTCCAGGCATCTTTTCCCTGTTGCTGAAACTTGCGTAGCTCTACAAATGAGGACCAGCTTTGACATCATCAGATAGGGTTGTTGCCTGTCAATGAACAGCCCATCACTCATTGATTTAGGATGGGGCTCTTTTGTGCATAAAATGTGGTAACTAGCCAACAAATGGATCCAGAAAACAGCGCTGTTTAATGGTATATCTGAACAGACCCAAGGGCTAGGCTGGAGAGTGAATGGCAGAGGAGAGTCAGGGAAAGAGTACCAATTGGCTGTCTAGAGGTCTGGACTGAAACAGCTGTGCCACCCACTTCATGCAATCTTCCTGTCTGTAAGAGGAGTAAGTCCTGCCCTGGTTGCTTAACAGAGCTTATATATGGCTAGGAGGAGGGACAAGCTAGTGAAAACATTTTTGTCCAATCATTCATTCATCTTCTATGTGGCAGAAACAGTGCTAGGCAAGGTCTTGTTCTTGGAGGGCACACAAGCAGAAAGCAAATAATCGCACAAATAACACAGGATTATAATTGGAATGGTGCAATGGAAGGTAGTTGTTTAACCCAGAAGGCCTCATTCTGCCCTAGGGTGCTGACAGGAGACATCATCAGTGTGAAATCAGATTCCATGACTTCATAAACCCTTTGAAACAACAGCTATTGCCAGGCTCCTCCTTCCCAAGGCAGCTGCTGTTAGGCATGTTCCTATCCCGTAAACTGTTAGCCTTCCATGTGGAATGGCTAGATATTGAGAACTCTATATATAGGAGTCAGGGGAAGAGGATATGTATGCATGAATGCAGGTGTGTAAGGAAGTCAGAAGAGTGTGTTGGATGGTCCTGGACCTGGACCTGCCCCATTTGGGTGCTGGGAATGGAGCCCAGTCTTCTTTGAGAGCAGTACATGGTTTAACCACTGAGCTTTCTCTCCAGTCCCAAGAATTTCATTTCTTAAAGTAGGGATAAACTCTAAATAGTGTCACTTAGTTGAGATGATTCATCTTTGTGTGGAGTCAAAGAAAGGACTGCATGGATGAAAGCTAACACTTATTGCCTACAGTTCATGTGACAGTGTGAGTCTTAAAGTCACCTGTGGGATAGATAGCATTACGTTTAAGAATCTGAGGCTTGGAGAAGCTCAGTACTTTCTTGACAAAGATTCACAAAGCTTTTGAATGGGCAAAGACTACATTCTTGACCCAGATAATTCTATCTCCAAGACAGGCTTTTTCCATGGCTACCCTACCAATGCTTTGGGTGGGGCTGTTTTATTTTTGGATTCCTCTTAGATGTGGATTCTCTAATTTTCTAGATGTCATAGTTCTGTGTTTGCTGATCAGAGGCAAGTTGTGCCAATTCCAGCCATCCATTCTTTTCAGAGGACATGGCTGTGTCTTCCTCTTCAAGCCCCAGAGGGCAGAGATGGAGATGGAGTGTTTCCTGATTAACACAGCATCCCATAAAATATGATAGAAGGAACTCGAGACCTCAAAGCTCTGATTCCACAGTTCCCCAGCAAAGGAGAACATGAGCCCTTCTGCACAGCTCCTTGTTCCATTAATGACCTGTGCTCCAACCAGGAAAGAAGGGGTTGGGGCAGAGGAGGAGGAATTCAGAAGAGGGAGGGGCAGGGGAAGCAGGGAGGGAAGAAGAAGGAAAAGGCTAAACTTACCTTCTTTAACTGGGCAGAAGCTGAAGCAACTTCTGTGTCAAAACTTGTGCAGACTCATTGATTTGGATGCAAAAATTCAGTGAGTTTTATAGCTTCATTCACACTATGCAACAATGGCATGGTTTCATAACCTCTGTGTGAACCATAGTTACTCTGCTCAGTTTCAGGCAGGGTCAATAAGAGAACAGTGTGACCTGGAGGAAATAATACCAAACTCCTGACTCTGCCAGGAACCAGCACTGGAACCTTCACAAGCCTCCTGCCCTGGGTATGCCTCTGTTTTCTGATCTCTTAGCTAGAATAAGAATGTCTAATCCCATACAGGTTTGAGGCCATATGTGAAAGTTGTAATTCTAAAAAGCAGAGCTTGAGAGACAGACAACGTGGACAGAGCTTAGGTGGAGAGGTTTTGTATTAGGGGAAAAGGAGGAGGGGAGACCAGCCTGTGGGGACAGGAGCAGCAGGAGAGAAGAGAGAGGCAGAG